GGTCGTAAGAGAAGGTGTGTCTGTGACTATTAGTTAGACCTGTAATATGACTGTTGGCATTCGTGTGTAAAAAATATTATAGCAAAGGGAAAGGATTAAACTGTATCGATCTCGTAGACCTTGCCGTGTTAATTTAATGTCTACAGTTGAATAATAACTTTGTGATTCATAAGATTTATTTGCATTATGCACATTCTTAAATGAACATATTCATTGCTTCGATTTCTGCATGCTAGGTAGAGTAGAGCATCAAAGCATTGTTGCGGCAGCATATTTTCTGCGTCTGTCTGTATATCCTCTAAGCCGGGCGGTAAAATGGAATATATTAGGTAGATAAATGTTCGCCAGTAATTACTACGGATCAGCTTTGTTGTTCGATAAATAATACCCAAATGACTATGCCGACCTGATTATGTGTGTAGCAACCCTCACACGTCCTTAACTAGGTACCCAAAAGATGCAGATTTTCATCGAATGTTTATATGCCAAAAACAAGTAGCAAATTGAGAGGCCTAGTCTACACTAGTCTTAATATAAAAAATGTCTCTGTGTATGTAATTGAACTCTTCCTAAATGGCTGGAAATTACTACTGGGCCCTGGATAACTAAAATTCATAACTAGAAACAGTAAATACCAATGCAGTCGGGTTCTCTATTTTTTATATATTTATCGGGCAGTATAATGTTTGTCGGGTCCGAGTGCGGATCAGATTCGCACTTGAAGTGTTGTACTGTACCATCATAGAAATGCGGTCGTAAAAATAACTTCAAAAAAGTACCATTTTAACTTACAACTATGTTTAACTTCAATAAACCATCGGTGAACATTTCAACGGTCTAACTAATATTATGTCAGTCTTTTAACGTTGAATCGCTTAAAAACCTACAATGTAATGTAATAATATATCATTTGCACATATAGGTATGTCATAACATTATGTTGGCACCTAGATGTATTTGATCTTGAACGTAGTTAAGTAAGACAACTGGTTTTACTGCCTGTATGTAGGTACTGTTTTATCTTATTACTGCTTGCCTATCTTTAGTGCTTCATTTGAATGATTGTTTAAATTATTTTCATTAGAGGGCGTAACTCTAGGTATCTAGGTACACCTGTACAAAAGGAAATTCACCACAAGCGCATACCTTAATAAAACATGTCATCTCGATGACGCAGTGGATAACACGTTCGTTCTGTATGCGATCGTGGAAGTTATAAATTTTCGCAATGAGAAAGAGTAAAAAAGAAGCGATCTTGAACCTGTTAGGGAGGACCTTGCTTCGGAAAGCACAACTTGTGATCCCAACTGCATCTGCAGTCGTAGCACCAACCAATACACGGTTGCGTAGTGGATCGTGCGTGGTACGATCTCTCTTTTCCATCTTGAGGTTATTCCTGTACTCCCCAGTGGGGATGTTAATAGACTGATGATGATGTAAAATATGGTGTTAAGAAGCAAACCTTCATAATAGGTAGTTACACGTTTCAGTTTACGCTTGTTTTGTTCCTTACGTATTATGAAAAGATTAAATCAAAATGGTATCTACCGATATTCATTAGTAGTACCTACGTTCTTGTGTTAAATGAAATAATTTTGCAAATTACCTATTTATTCGGCAAAGACGATGCAGGTACTTTTACTATCCTAATTACTGCTGATTAGCAGAAGTTCCAAACAAGGACCAGTGACGGAAAGATTAAGCGGTACAGACAGACCGCCATACATCAATTTATCTAAAGTATATTTTTCTATATAGATTGTTAATCTTATGACAAGTTGTATTAAGCTCATTGTCAGTTCTATAAATACAGTTTTGGGTTACTTGACCACTTGACCTGTAGGTTTCAAATGAGAAATTGCTATTGATCTAAAAAAGAAGGTTATTTTTTTATGTGTCGATACGATTACTAAAAATAAATATGACAAGACTTAGAGTTTAGAGCGCTCTGTGAGGACCAGCAGACGACTAGTCGTCGCTGACCACTGCTTCCCGAAGACAACATCCAAATCCAATTTGATGGAGTGGCTAAAATACAATTTGGCCCAGTTTATTCGATCTATTGCGTAATTAATATATTCAATAGCAAACCAATTATTATTTGCGAGCAACCTTTTACGTCAACCGTGGGGTTATCTTACGCTTACTTGGATATCTACTCGCATTACATAGAGACTGTTTAGTTTACATTCACAATATTGCAAATCATAGGAAAAGTTTTCAGTAAAATCTAAGATATCTAAATAAGTACAATCGAGATTAATCCTTAATGTGTACTAAAAAAATGCGGCCAAGTGCGTCTCAGACTACACACGCAGTCGCCCTCACTTCGCTTCGGAATAACCAATTTTTTCTCGGACTTGTACCCTCCTATTTTAAATACTATGGATCTTTTCATTAAAGTGATGATGGTAAAAATCCTTAGATTAAATCTAAATCTGTTGCATGGTTTAGGAGGAATAAGCAGCTTTTCATTTGCAGGCGGAAAGCGACTTGGACCTACGTATACATTAGTTGTCGCTCTAAATCAGTGTTTCCTAACCTTTCCAATACTGCTGCTATCCCTATAACCTACTAGGAAAACAGATTTTACCCCGACTTTAAAATGTTATCAATATAAACAATACAAGCAAATTTTAATATGTTTATTAATCATAAATTTATTATTATTATTAATCAATACAGCCCACATAAAAAAACACAAATTGCAGAACAGTATTTTTACCTTGTTTCATATTTTAACTATGAATTAATAATAATCATTATTGTGAAGTTTGGAATTGTCTGGCATTTATAAGTTTTTTATGTTAGGTTTAGTTTCACTTAAAGCGCATCTCAAGTCCTGAGTTTCTGGCATTTGTTTTTAATGGAGGTAAGTAAAGATGAAAAACCACTCTCGCATCTGTAGGTGGTGGCAAGGGGTATTATCATTTTGAAAGCTCTGTTAGCTATAACATGATATTTGGCACTTGATCTTATTCAAAATGTGCTGAGATCATAAATTTTTAAATTCTACTTTGAATGTAAATACTCTCGCGCAGTCCAAGAAATTCCAATGTGGCCGCTACATCTTCGTCTCTAATAATGTCATCATCAGGAGAAAATCTTGCCCCGCCTCCCACACTCTGCACACCGCGGTCTCGCTAGCAAAAAGGAGCGCTGCAACTTGCGTTATTGCGCGGTGTAGGTACTGTATTTCTTATTATTTAGATTTGACCAAATAATTAGGTTCTTTGTTACCTCCGAAGTATAGCTGATTTACCCCCGAAGGGGTATATGCCTGGGGGTAATTACCCCCAGGTTAGGAACCCAGGCTCTAGGTGTAATAGTAATACATATATTTACCCAAAAACTAAAATTTTAACTAAGTACTTAACCACTAAGTAACTGCATGTAAGCTGCGGTTCATTGATCATGAGAATGAGATACATTCCACTGACAGACGGACGGACAGCAGTTTTAGGCTGAGGCCGCTCTAGTACAGCGACGACGATTTTGTGAAAACAAACTCATACCTATTTAATCTATTTATAAACACACTAGCGGAACCCGCGACTTCGTCCGCGTTAACTTCAGTTTTTGAAGAATCCCTCATGAACATTACATTATTCCGGGATAAAAAGTATCCTATGTGTCAATCCAGGTCATTAACTATATGTCTACCAAATTTCATCCAAAATGCTTTGCTGTGCTAGCATATAGTTCTGTTATCAACTTATCACCCTATCGGTACAGAACCGTAAACAAATACTTATAAATTAATTTAGGCTTCTTACGTAAATATATTAGGTATATTATACTTATTAGGTTATCATTTTGTGAACCAATATTTATTTCCAAGGTACCTATACTTAGCTAAATGTGTTACTAACTTTATAAAGTCACAAATTTTTGGTAAAATCAACATAACTGTCACCATCGAAGGCCCTTTTGTTTAAAAATGTCCATTGTCCACTCTGCACTGGTCCCGCCCGATGGGTCAAGAATGGCACAATGGCCCAATCTCCGTATTCCATCCACAGGGAAGGTCTATGCCCCAGCAGTGGGAAAATTAATAGGCTGATGACTGAACGGTCTTCCGACTGAAATGGCTTTTTTGAACTAGTTTTATTACTTTTTAGTTTATTTTTTTTAACAACCAGATTTTTTTTATTACTCACAAATACTTAACTAATGAATAACACCTCTCAAGCTGAAATCCAACAAGCCGTTTAGGCAACAAAATATAACACACACTCCAAAAACATAAACTTCCTTCTGACTTAGGCGAGTAAATGTATGTAAAGGACTAGAATTATTTTTGATTACCCAATATTGTATTAGATAACGTTCACTAAGATGTCGCGATCTTGCACTACTTTGAAGGATAATGTTTTTAATAGGTAGTCTGATACAATTTTGTTTTTATTTATAACAATTATATATTATTATTATTTTCAACCATAAATAATCAAATACTATACTAGGTACTGAGGTATATATAAAAAGTCAGAAACAGAGAAAACATAAGATTTAGGTACATAAAATGTACACTCACGCGCACAAGTAATCAACCAAATAATTCATTTCTAATGTACCTCACACCATATAAATAAGCAGTATAGCTATTCGCGAACAGAAATTATAAAATCTTGTTAAGAATAAAACTGCAAGTACGATCATTCAATGGGAAAACAAGATGCCATTGGCAAGAAAATACTTAGCGTTATCCACAATAATAAGATTACAAATTATGTGCAATGAAATAAGATATCATCGCAATTTACTCACACGGACTATAAAATAAAGGTTATATAAAATCTTACAACAATACAATGATACGGCCTGAATTCTGAATATGATGCCTCAAGAACATGTAAGTACTTTCTAGAATAGCATTATAGCAGGGAGAAATGAATTAATTAATACTAACATTTCTATGGAACCCTCATTTCATTTTTAATTGTTAATTTTATCGTTTAGATAGCATTTTTTTACATCATAATAAGTAGCAAAAGTACCTTTTTCCCATTAACGAAGAAAACTAGCTCACTATTAATACCGGCCTCTTCTTCCAAATTTAACTGACCCATGTTTTTAATTGTACTTATAAAATAATCACTTCACTCGCGTCTACCAAGCTTCGCGCGATTCCTGCTACTGGAAGATTATTTCCTCACAGTTTATTGCGCTCGCGCAGCCGCGTACGATATCACACAAATCGGAGACAACTAACTTATCTGCACCAGTCAAGGAGGATGATCAACTCAATAACACTGTAGGTACTTCATCATAGGTTATCGTTTAACTTGAGAAAAGTTACGGAGCAAATGGCAGTAAAAATATTTGTTGTTGTTACACCCACTTATAAAAGTAGAATTACCAGTCCCGAAGATAAACCTGTCTAAATGATCGGTTACGAGGTTATTCTGAAAATTATTGATTGTTTATGCACTTTTGATATATGTATAGTTTTGAATAGCTGAAATGAAACTAGATTTATATGAAAAGAAAATGATTTATTTAATAAAATTAAAAGGATAATTAACAAAATATGTATTTAACCCAAAAGTTTTTCTTAGTTTACCTAAAACGTTTTAAATTAGAAGAAGGCTTTATTTCCATTTTATTTTCAGCTTCTTCCCGCTAAGGTGTACGTTTGTTAGTGCAATCCGAACACATGTAAGCTGGTATACCAAATTGCCAACTAGTAAAATATATATTATGGAATAACATTCCATGGTTTATCATTATGAGTTATCGTTGGCACAACCTGAAACAAAAAAATGAGCTTAATCAAGGACTGAATTTAATATTTATATATAACATACTGCAAAGAATCCCCCACGAATGTACTTAACTTCAACTATCACGAACGAGTGTGTACAATATGAAGATATTAAAAGAATTTAAATCTTATTTAAACTTTCCAAAAGTCATGCGTTAACTTTTCTTCCAAAAGTTCTGAATTTTTTTATGCAATACCTAACAGGTTTAAAAAGCGGTCAAGTGCGAATCGGACTCGCGCACATAGTGTTCTATTTATTTATTTACAACATTATACCATTATAATATCGAGTAAAAACGGCACGTCTGTTGTATAGGCCCCCTTAAATATGTATTGAATTTTAATTCCATTATTTATTATTACAGTGAATATACAACTAAATATTCTGTGAATATTTCAAGCTACTATCTGTTACCTTAATTAATATCGAGCGCAAAACAACAAAATTCACGTTGCTTTTATGCCCCCATATAAATAATCATTTTATTCTTTTTTGCAGAATTTATTGTTATAGCGGCAATAGAAATACTTACAATTTATCATGTGAAAATTTCAACTCTCTAGCTATCACGGTTTATGACATGAGATACACCTGGTGACAGACAGACGCACAGACACTAGAGCCTTAGTAATAGGGTCCCATTTTTTCCCTTTGCGTACGGAACCCTTTTTTTTTATAACGCAGTAAAATGCTGTTTACAGACGACGGCGCCTTTAAGAGGCACACCGCCGAACGGACCTCACACTTGGCTCCCGCAAGTCTTACGAACCCCCCAGTGGCTGCCCACCGAGAACCCCGAAACTCTCACGGACGCTTTACGCCATAATATCCGCTAAAAATGGCCTGTGAATATCTTCTACACTGCTTAATGCGAAGCCACGGGGTCCCAGTTTTGGGATTCTACCACGACTCCGCACCCAGCAGCTTCTTGGTCTCGCCGGGGCTCCACGGCAAGGGTCTCCCGAGGTATTGCGGGGACCCCGCAGACGTGCGCAGGATGCCCCGCGCATTGGGACTGAGTACGCGGCCCACCGTACCGCCCTCCGTCCGCTGCGGAGGGCTTCTTGGGCGTACCCGTCCAAGCAACCCTCCGACCGCCCCCCTTTGTATAACAAAACTACAAGAGAGGGGCCGCCGTTCCTGGGAGGGGAAGCGTAGTTCTTCCTGTCCCTCTCCCCTCTTCCGGTCGCCCACGTCTCCTCGCGTCTTCTCCTAGGAGAAGAGGGGGGAAACGCGTCCGACGGCAATGGGTACGGAACCCTAAAAAGAAGGTTATCAATATTCACTTACCTGTGCTGTGATTTGATCCTCGCACGCCATTCGTATGCGCGCACATGTGGCGGGCACATCCAGCCGCAACAGTGGAGATGCGCAGCTGTCCAAACGAGCAGAATTTATTGCCTCCTTTATAGCGAAGAATACAGAGGCTGCTAAGAAAAGTGGAGGTTCACCTACAGCCTGAAAAAAATCGGTTCATCAGGTTTTGCCGAATCGGCGACAAAACAAAATATCTAACGTGTCGAAACCAAGAATAGCTTTCGATAGAAACATACTAGACCATTAGTAGACCGCGATAATACCACCATAAAACTTTGCTGAAATGAACCGTCAATGCATTTAACATGAGACCTTTAAATAATTTGAAACCAAACTTCCGCGGGCTTTAATAAACGTATACGAGTGATGTATTACGAGCCAAAACTTGGACTGTGACAAAGAAACATGTCCATACCATGCAAGTCATTCAGAAAAAAATGGAGCGTGCAATGCTCGATATATCCCTGAAAGATCGTGTACGTAATGAGGACATACGGAAAAGTATAAAAATTATTAAAAAAAAATTACCCTACATTGTTCACGAACTCCTAGGGAAGAAGTGGAGGGGGGCAGGCCATGTGACTCGCAGAACGTTGACGACGACAGATGGAGTTGCGAACTAGAACAGGATGCAGAAACGTAGGCAGCCCGCCAGATGATCCGATGACATCACCAAAGTAGCAGGACGAAACTGGATCCGGATCCGGCGCACCATGGAAGAATATTTATACCCAGCAGTGGGTAGATAAAAGTTGAAGACGAAGAAGAAATGTATTTTTTGGTAACATAACCAGCTTTCTTTCAAAATTAGTGCTTGCCAACTTTTAAGAGCCCTTTCACATTTTTTGCAAAAAATAAAAGTAAACAGTAGATTTATTCTTCCTATTGTAAGTTAATGTAGAATATTTGCAAATACTATTTTCCTTTTTATGTACTGATCGTTCTACCGCAGCTAGTTTACGGAAAAAATGATAATATGCACAAATTCAAACGCCTGAATCTCTGAATAATGTTCAACAAATTAGATCAAATTAATTACTACGACATCAAAAATATATTTTTGTTGTAATATAATGTACTACAATTTTGATTTTCCATCTGAGTTTTCCCAAAAACATTGCAGGTTTACCTGGTATTTCGATATTGAATTAAATAGAATAACTATCAAAAACTTTCATAAAACTAATCTACCATCATTTAACTACTGAAGTATGTACATATTTTTATAATTACCTCCTTCATTAATAATTACATAATAACACTCAAAAGATCACCCGTAAAATGCAATACAATAATATACTAGTGCAAATCTACCTACGCGCCGCGCGCCCGATCAGTACGGCAGCGGCGCACTTTTGTAAAAGGGCTTTTAACTAGGATTTTGACATCAAATAGAAATATTAGACAAACTCTTCAAATTTATTGAGAGAAATTCTTATTTATTTTGTGCTCAGTAGCACAAACTCAACTTCATTTTGAAATTTTAATGTATAATTAAGTTCAAAAAGATATTATGACCAATCAAAAATATAAACTGTCTCATGCGTGGTCTCATGTATGTTGTTAATATGCATTGACGATACCGAAGCGACCAATTGCGTAATTTATTTTCTCCAACAATGCAATACACTGAATTAAATAATCTGTTAATGAGTATAGAATGTAACTATAATAACAAGCACACTACGTATTATGTTATCAAACTTCTGGGTCATTTGTTCAATAACTTGACCTTTACGCCAAGTTCATACATAAATAAATACCTAATTATCAGGGTTCCACGCTCATTCTTACTTAAGTTATTAAGTAAGAAAATAATTTAGTTTATCGCTTTAGTCTCTTGTCAATGTAATAATATCTATTTCCAGAACATGAGCTATCTGTGGGCACGGCAGTGCCCCCGCCAAGTCGAGCAAAAACAGCGGCACGGCCGTACCATCCTCTTCTCGAAACAGTTTAGGCCATTTTCAACCCCCTATAACTTCGTTGGCGATAAAACTAGAAGCCTGAATTTCTTATCTATTAGACAAGTCCGTCCGTCCGTCCGTCCGTCTGTGGTGCTGTTTCAGCGGCCAAACCGTAAGAGATAGATAAAGAGAATGTTTAAGTTATAAGTTAAGAATAGTCTGATAAGACTACAAACCGGATTTGAGTAACGTAGCACTTCCGGTTTTCGAGAAATCACGAATTTCAAACGAAACCACACAAAATCTCCGAAGTTCTCAATTAATTAAATACTTTTTTGGTGAACATTTGGTTCACTGGTTTGCTAGTTTTCAGTAACCAAGTAGGCATTGTATAAACTCGGTATCTCTTATCTATTAGACAAGTCCGTTCGTCCGTCTGTCTGTGGTGCTGTTTCAGCGGCCAAACCGTAAGAGATAGATAAAGAGAATGTTTAAGTTATAAGTTAATAATAGTCTGATAAGACTACAAACCGGATTTGAGTAACGTAGCACTTCCGGTTTTCGAGAAATCACGAATTTCAAACGAAACCACACAAAATCTCCGAAGTTCTCAATTAATAAAATACATTTTTTTTTTAAATCAGGTTTTGGTAAACATTTGGTTCACGGGTTTGCCAGTATTTCATAATACATTGAATTTTCGCCAGTAGTTTCGAAGAATTATAATTAGTCAGTTTCTGAATTTTGTCACTCACTGACTGACTGACCGATCATCAAAAACTCTAAGGCACTTCTAGCAGTAGATAGAAGCTTCAAATTTAGAATGCATTTAGTGGTTAGTGTATAATTCAAGGAAAAGCAATCAACAATCTAATTTAATATAATATATGAGATACATTGTGTTTTCATGCGATTGCCAGGGCAATTTATTCATTTAAAACATGCAAGATTTTTAATATTGATAAGGTCAGTATAAGATTTTGTTAGGTGAGCTAATTTCTTAATAACTCAAGACAGAAGGTTCCTTAAGTAGGGACTGAATAAATAAACCGAATTGGCATAACATGGATCTCATAACTTTTGACGGTAGAAGAAGTAGAACTGAGTTGCGAGACATGTTTTTTTTTTCAAGTTATGTTTTTGATGGCATTTTATTTACTCCACACGTCAGTTAAAACAGTATCCGTCATTTTCATGCTGGCTGGACCAGGAGTAAAATAATATCAACAGATATTTTGGCCAATGTGGCAAGGGATAAGATACTATCGACAATAAAGTTCTAATATCTACTAAAATGTAAACATTTTACAAAAACAATATACCTACAACGTGTATTCGAAATAACTCACACCCTGAAAGTACAATACAAAACACTTTATTGTACACCAAAGATTACATTACATTTAATACATAACCAATTTAAACTAGTGTAACAATGGGTGGCCTTATCGCTTAGAGCGATCTCTTCCAGACAACCTTTGGATGGAGAGGACTAGAAGGAAGTGGGTGAGACGGCGGCGTAAATCACTTGAGTGATATAGGTAATAATATATACAATTATATACATACATACACATAAATAAACAAATCTAGCTCAGTTGATAGTAGCCACAAATAAGATTAACATCAAAAGTTATAAGGACAGATGTAGAGGTCCACATGAAAACGTTACATTTACATTTTAAATGATTTTACACAATTTGAGAAAAACTAATAAGTCATCAATGCTTAAAGCAATCTCTTTACTCACTATGGGAAAAAAACTTATTAATGCATAGATTAATTTGGGTCATATCATCATGTGAATATTTATACTTTTATACTCATGAGAATTATTTATAAAAAAAATGTTACGTTTTGGCGCAACTAATTGATTAATGTAGCGTTTTGGTGAGATTATTGTAAAAATGTTACTTTTTTTATTTTGATCTACTAACAAATGTCACTTTTTTGTATGAATAAAAAAAGACATTTTAATTAATGTATTTTTATTATAAAAAGAGAAATATACATATTATTAATTTTTATTTTATTATAAAAACCTAAATTCAGAGGGGACAATCTTCTTTAGCGCATAAAATTGTTACGTTTTGGTTCAACTTGTTGATTTCATAGCGCTTAAGTACGAAATTGAACGCGTTTTGTTGCAACTTCAATAGAGTTTTCGATAGAATTTAGGAATTCGAACCGATCTGCATTCTCAACTTATTTTCTGAACTACACGTCAAATGTTACGTTTTGGTGTGGACCTACACAGATAATGGGACTTAACAAGGCCTTTAAAGGCGTGAATAGATTCTGTACGTCGTATCGTAACTGGGAGAGAATTCCACAGATGTACGGCTTGTACTATAAACGAACGGCTATAAAATGTTGTAGCGTGTACAGGAGGAGAGTGAGAATAAGATTTTCTGATGACCTAAGGGATATCATGTTAGAAGTGTGAAGGAAATTAAAACATTACTTAAGATAGCGCGGGGTCTTAGGATTAAACAAGACGTTGTAAAGGAGTGCAAGAATATGAGCATTCCGGCGAAGACGAATAAGTAGCCACTTGAGTTGCAAACGAAATTGGGGAACGTGATCATATTTGCGCAAGCCAATGTTTTGTAGTCGCTCAAACTTATTTAGCTGGTCCTGCGTGAGATCTAGATATCAGACGTCAGCATCATCAAAAATGGGAAGCAACAACGACTGTGCTAAGGTGATTTTGGTAGTGATGGGTAAGAAATTACATAGTCTCCTAAGCGACGTTGCTGAAGCAAACAATTTGCGGCTGACCACTTGCATCTGTGGACCCCAGCTCGAACAATTGTCGAAAGTTAACCCCAGGTTTATATATATATATATATATATATATATATATATATATAAAGGCAAACATTAATAATGATAAAGATGAAGTTATTGTAGCAAGCCTTACATGGCAACAAAATCTAAAAAAACTATTTAAAAACCACAATAACACACAACGCTACCATGAGTACCAACGGCAACGGCTTCTGAATCGCGCTAACGTTACGTTTTTATTAAAAGTATATAAGCACTTGAAAAGTTATCTGGGTTATCTGCATCGTCCCCTTCTCAGGGGACGATCGCATCCGATGAAGCCTTAAAGGCCTTCCCGGCCAGAGGCAGTCCCAACGGGTGTTTTTTAGTCAGTAAGAGTCTGACATAACCCTGCAGCCGGCTGTAGGGTATCCATGAGGATTTCTCACCCGCTCCCCCGCCTGGGAGGAAACAAAAAAATAAAAAATAAATAGGCGGTTATACCATCATCCCCTTCTCTGGGGATGATCGCTTCAGATGAAGCTTATAGGGCATTTCTTGCCATAAGCTAGAACTAGGGGTGTGTTTTAGTCGGTAAGTCTTCACGTTGCAACCGTCTGTAAGTTATCCATGAATATTTCACACCTGCTCCCTGCCTGGGAGGAAACAATAAAAATCGGCGATTATCATTCGTATTAAAAAATATATAATATCGAATTGATTTTGAGGCGCTACTTTGATTTAGGTCTTCTAGTTGAGATACATAGATTGATATTATTGGTTTCTCTTATATAGAAAATAAAGACTCCTGCTCAAATATATTGTGGTAACTACAGGCAACTACAGAACCCTACACTGCTAGTGGTACGACACGCACTTGCCCGGTTTTTATTTAATCAGTTAAACCAGTGACATTCCAACGATTTCAAAATTAGTGGAGCGCCTGGAGGCTTAGACCTCGCACTTTTGCTGCAGTCATAGAGCAACACGTCCGACGCGGCCATGCCGCATCTCAATTCCTTTTAATTGCGGAATAAACCGAATTATATTGCATTAATTAAGGACCTCGTTCTCTAAAAATACGGACCACTTAAGCCCCCAGCTCAAAATACTTATCAGATAGTCACTCTTTCAGAATGCAAGGGCCTATCATGGATCTCTTAAGGATTATAAATCCCAAACCAGTAGTCAAAAATTATTCAACTATTTGACGAATACGAGCTACGACGTTGACCACAAGTTTCCCTTAACGCGAAACGTTTGATGAGTTGAACTACCGTTTTGAAAATACTTTTTCATGATTTCAACGCATTGCTCAACTATACAGACAACTGTACACCAAAACAAGTAATATTACAAAATATTATACGTGGGAATAATTTGTATTTTTAGGTTAATTTTTTTTTCCAGTACCTACACAATGTATAGTGCGGCGCGCTACCGTGGCGCTACGCAAAAAATGTGCCTGTGTGTAAGTGCGTCGCTAAAAAAGTTTCTAAATAACATTTTGAAAACATTAATGTATAAATTTTGAAAAAAAAAATAGTGACCTTCAATATCTGCATAACTATAAATTTTCCAGGTATGGTCTAGAATAAAAAAAATTATCGTCATGATGTGGAAAATAAGTGGCCTTCGACTTCGTTAAAGGATTTTTTACAACCTGTATAGCGACTGGTACAATAAATGCCAAACTTTTGATACATAATGCCGATACTTCACGTGGCTATTCATGTTTGCCTTTTGTAAACTTGACATTAGTCTGTTCTTTTCACTCCTTATGAAGCAAGATAAGAAAGGTTGTTATCAAGTTTTCAAATAGCAAACACGAATATCCAAATGAAGTGCCGGCATAACGTGTTTATCAATAATTTGGGCAAATAGACTATCTAATTATGTCTGAAGCCAATTCTTCTAATTTCAGGGTGTGTGTTCTTACTGTAACACGTTGTATAAGTAATTATACTGCATAATTGCACATGGGAGAAATTGCCATTAATTAATTCAATCAGAATTAGGTCAGAAGCATTATTTTTCGTTTTCCAGTTAGATAAAAATACAGATTACTGGTTTTAAAATTTATATTGACAGCTTTAAATTAATAGTGTTCATAGTTATACATCAAAGATAATTTCTCAAAAAAAATATAATGTCGAACACAGAACCTTATCCTTTTTTGAAGTCGGTTAAAAAAAGAATAAGAAAAGGATTGGTTTTTCTACTATATGTAGGTATACCAAATCCGTTCAGCCGTTTTTGCGTAACTTGGTAAAAACAAACTCACTTTCGAATTTATAATATTAGTTGGGATTGGATTTATTAAGGTATTAATTGACGTTCTGATATTTTTATGACCCGTGATTATTTATTTATTTAGATTGACTACTTAGTAAGTAGCCTTTCGATAATTAACAAATGTTTACTTAAAATTTAATTATAAATGCATCTAATTCAGATGCATTTATAGTTATTAAAAGGTGAATAAAGCATATTTGCACCAATTGTTAATTATAATTATAAAGCAAAATGTCACAATCCACTGAAAGTACAATCCGCAGCTAAAAAATAGGAGAAAGACAACAAGATGATTGTGGAAACATATACATATTTACAATTTATATTCTTTCTCGGTTTTGCGATTGCCTGGCCCAGTTTCCAATAATTGAAAAATTGTAACATATCTTACCTTAGACGAATAAACAGCTCTTGGATTCGGTGCACCTTTTAATAAAGATACATTGAACTCCTTAGGTATATCTGAGAATCCAGGTACCTTATATGTTCCAGGGCCTCGCGAAAGCGCTTCGCCGCTAGGCGAAAACACCATTTCCTCCATTGTACAAAAACCATATCCTTGCATAAAAGCTCCTTCGATTTGACCTATATCAATGGCGGGGTTCAAGCTTTCCCCAAGATCCATCACTATATCAGTCCTCAAGACTTGATGATCACCAGTCAAACAATCTATTAATACTTCAGAACACGCCACCCCATATGTGAAGTACTCGTATAAATTTCCTGAATTAGTCTTTGAATCGTATTCTATTTTTGGTGCAGCATAGAACCCTGTCGCGGATAATTGCGTTCTGTCAAAGTACGCTGCATTGACCCAATCTTCCCAAGATCCAGAAGGGTTCTTATTTTTGAATGGCTCCAATCTTTCTTTTAAAACGTTACAAGCATTAACAACTGCCATACCGTAAATATCTGAACTTATACTAGCAGCTGTTGGAGAACTATTAGGAACCTTATCTGTAGACATTTCGCTTATGTGTATTTTATTAATATCTATGTCTAATACTCTTGAAGCAACTTGAATCATCTTTGTGAAAAGTCCTTGACCCATTTCCACACCACCTATGGACAACAGCACTGAACCATCATTGTACACATGCAACAAAGCTCCAGCTTGCATCAAGAAATCAGTTTGAAAAGATATGCCATATTTTGTGGGAACTAACGAAATGCCTTTTTTCTTCCACCTGTTATACCTGCAAAAGTAATGGTAGATCTGTAAAGTATTTGTGTTAGTAAACCTACCTATTTTATTTTATTTTTATTTTATTGACAAAGATTCACCAACAACATATAATTGGCTTGCTCTGTTCATGTAGTTTTGGGAGTGGAGGCCTTGTGTCTTGTAGAACAGGTTTATCCTATTGCAAGCACCAGTCTTCACATTAAGTAATGAAATATTGTAATTAAGCACTTTATTGTAAATGTTTCTTTTTTTCTACCTATGTGAAGAAATAAATAAAGAATTTATTTATTTATTTAATTTTACAATCGCCCAAATGAGACAAAGTCTAGTGGATCCATTCGTCTATATCCGCATGTTTTAAGCCAGATTTGGGCATTATTCGAATAACTTGTTATCTGGATAATTATTAGAATAAAATTTTATTCGTAATGAATTTATTCCTAAATAAATTTCCCACGAATAAATTATTCCTGATTTTATTCTTTATTTTAAATATTAAGTATTAAAGCGATAAGACGAATTGGTGCCAATCGTATATCATGAACTGCCTGCCTGATTTCCGGAATTTAATGAATAATAGCGGCACAAGAAAGGGATCAATCATATCAATACGAGAGAGCGAGACTGTAGACGTATGAACGAAAAATGAACGAATGTAGATATGTAGACGAGTGAGAGAGAGAGAGAGCGCACTTTCTTATCAGTTGTGGTCACAAAAGTATTATTTTGTTTTGGTAAATTGCTAATATTCTGGGTACTCGCCCCAGTCATTCGGAATCTGTTTACCAGAGCGGTGCGGTAATCAAATCACAAGTATTATATTGTAGTAATGACAATTAATGCTATTTTTCATTTTATTATTATTTTAAGCAGATTGTCTGACAACATGTTTGAAGAAAGAGTAGTGATGACAACGATTATTAAGAAATAATCATAACTGTAAATACATGATAATTGAAAGCAAATAAATATTTGATTACATAACATTATTACTTGTTTTATATTAATTCATTAACCGACTAAGGAATAAAATAATTTATTCGTAATTCGAATAATTTTCCTTTGAATAAAATAAATTATTTATTATTCGTGAATAAAGAAATAACAATTTATTCAATCGTTATTCGTCATTCAAATAAATTTTGCCCCACTCAGGTTTTAACGATGGCGAATACGCATGTATAGGGAAACATACTGATACCCTTCTACCTATGTTAGAAAAATACGCAAATTGTCCTATGTTAATTTATTTAGCATTACGATTATGTAAGCGTTACCAGAATATCTGTTTATTCAAAAAGAAGAATATGTTTTTTTATTAAAAGTAGGGATGTTCGATATCGATTCGATTAATCGATTACTCGTTTTTAAAATTTTGCGCATTAATCGATTCGTAATGATCTTCATTATGGTCTTGTCAGTTCATACATAAACAATGCCTAAACATGAAACACGTCTCAAAAATCATCATAACAAGCTTCGACAGCCGACAGCTTTGTCCATACAATACCCACTGTTACTTTAGTCTTTAAAACTATCTCTATCTCTGTCTATATGTCATAATGTATAACGTTTATGCAGTTGAAGCTACGTATGTTTCTTCTAGATGTCAAACTGGAACAAAATGTTCATGGTGGCAAAAGACCATAGTCATTAGTCATTTATTCCATAAAAACAATATTACATTGTGTCGGAAATTATGTTAAGTACCTACATAGAAATAAATCCCAAAAACAAAACCCTTACATACAGTTTGTCTATAAAGTCGTGACATGAATGTTTGAGGAACTAACATTATTCATGTGTCTGGCAACACCAAACTTATGTACATCAGCTGTCATCGAGTTTGAGTTGTGGAACAGTTTTCCTTTTGTATTTTTTATTGTTTGGATTAAACTGTAATAAATTAAGACGAAACTAAGCAGAAAGTATTAAAAATGTGTGGCACGCGGGAAGTGATTTTTAAAGTTTTCCAGCGATGTTTCGAAGACTACCAAGCTGGGCGAATTTTGTGGGATTTGGATGATGTTTATGGGCGAACAGCATCTATGACGGGTATGTAATCGTGTAACTATTTGTTTGTAATCTGCCTGAAGTTACAAATTTACTCAATTTACGATTTTGAGACCAAAAAAGGCATTGTTTACATTGCACATTTTTAGGTTAGATTGACATTGTAAATAGGTAATATTGTAGTACGACCATTTCTTTTGATACATTATTATGGTTCAACTCGGTCAGGTTTTCTTCCAAATTTGGATTAATTGCTTCATGTCAATAAGTTATTGTTTCTATTCCGTTACATATTTTTTTACTTTTTTTTTTCAGGAAAATCAGAGAGTCGGATAGTCAACGAAGGTTTTAAGAATGATGGAAAGTTTGAAACTCCTGGGAAAACAGGCAAGGCCGACCAAAGAAAGAAATGGTCACGTAAAGAACCATGGCCAGATGCTTTTAGTGAAGATACCTATCACTAATTTTACTAACTGCACATTTACAAATTGTTTCTCTAAATAAACTTTTTATATACTATAAAATGATTTTTAGTATTATTTTCTTAACAAGTGTGTTAAAAAACGGCGTATGATAAATCTTGTGTGTATTGATGATTACCTAACGGCTCTGGTCTCAATGGCACCTCAGCGGTAATCACCAACATTACACACTTTTACACTATAAAGTACTATTTTATCTATAATAATTTTATTCTGATTCAATTAAATATGCTTGGCTAAACTTTTTATAAGCATAGGTACCTACTATATATAAAACAGAAACAAAATACGACTGTATAGTGTGTCTTATTAATTACCTATTTTACTTGAATGATCTGCTAGTATCAAAAACATTTTGGTCCAGCTGTATAGGGTTGCTACATGCATACTAGTGGCGCCATCATTTAATGTCACGACTTTATAGACAAACTGTAGCCTGGGATACTATTAATAAAAATAAAAACCAATATCCAAATATTTATAGTGGCAATCAGACATTTATCAATCATTTCCACGTCAGTGCCTACTGAAAGACTATTTTCAGAAGCTGAGCAAATCGCCACCGACATGAGAAACAGATTGACTGGTTCTCATCTTTCGATGTTAATTTTTCTGTCATCCATAGATGAATCTCAATGGAAATGTTAGTGATTAAATAAACATTCTTATTTTAAAATTGTAATTCTTTTATTTGTTATTAATGTCTATGTATTTTTTTTGTAGTTCGACGAAACATTTATTTTCTTACAGTCTGGAATTTTTCTACGCTTAATCGATATCATAAGTGCAATTAATCGATTAATTGTAATGACACTGTAGAAATAATCGATTATCGAATAATCGATTACTTTGCTATCGATTATCATCCCTAATTTAAAGTAATGAAACAAGTACCTACCTAAGCCCTAAAGCTCACTTTCACTGCGTATGCCCGATGTAACGTTTCCGTTTCTTTCACTTAGTTTGTTCGCGTATAAGAGTTGCTGTCAGGTTTGAGAAATACCAGACCATGAGTTTGGACTACCACAGTAAGAACCGTAAGGAGCGCAAATACCTACGATTTCGCTATATCACCGCACAGTTGTGACGTCGCTCTTGCAACATAATGCAAAAATTAACCTAATGAAATAATGAAAACTTATCTATGCGAGGAATCAAACATAATGAGAGCCAATGGGCAGTACGATTTTACAGTGTAACACTCACACACCTATTATACTCTTTGACGTCACTCTTCCTCTTCCAATATTTCGAAGTTTCGATACATTCATTCCAACACCTCGTCAGAGTACAATATGTAAGTTCCTGATTGAAATGAGTCATATGTCCTTCCTTATAAAGATTGATTTCTATTATTTCTTCGTAGTTTTTATTCAAAGCTTGAGCAATGTCTCGTATCATACACTCCGCAGCTAGCATTGCTTTGGGTGCCCCAAAACCTCTGAAGGCTGTATTAGATGTCAAATTAGTTTTACAAAGATATCCATTCACATGAATATTAGGAATAAAATAGCAATTATCCATATGCATTACTGCCCTTTCGATCATCTGAAATTAGATATATTGTTAAAAAACACTCTTAATTAAGTACTTAAACGTATCGTGATTTCACTCCCAACTCTCAATAATTTATCTAGGTCATCGAGACTAATTAATTATTGTTCTATCAAACTTACTGAGCAAGATATGTCCATGGAATTCCCTGCATTACTATAAATATCAAATACAGCACCAGATATTTTGCCTTCGACGTCAAATGCAGCTCTATATTTAGTCAAACAAGGATGTCGATAACCAGCAACTTGCATATCTTCATCCCGGTCTAAAACAGCTCGTACTGGTTTCTTCAATCTATAAGCCGCTATTGCTACGGGTAATGCCAGTATAGCTGCTCTAGTTTCCTTACCGCCGAAACCTCCACCAATTCTTTTTACTTTTGATATGATTTTGTGATTTGGTATTCGAAGTACTTCAGACGCAATATGCTGCAATTATAAAATATATTATTATTAGTTCCAACGTACTTACATTTAATTATCATATTATTTTTAAAGTTTCGATTCTCACCGCAATATCTGCAGGATTTTGAGTCGTTGCAATAATTTCTAATTCGTCTTCTTTTCTAACAGCGTAGGCCGAAATTGTTTCTAAATAAAAATGTTCCTGTGCACTATTTCTAACTACTCCGTCCACAATATTATAAGACTGAGCAAAAGCTTTTTCTACGTCTCCTTTTTTTAAAACCCGGGGATAGCCGGGAAAATATGATTGATGTTCTATAGCATCTTCTATTGTTATTATTACAGGCTCTAATCGTTCATAGCTTACTTTAACCATATTCTTAGCTTTTCTTGCAATACTTTCAGATATTGCTACTATAGCTCCAATAACACAAGCGCGACTTGTTACTATATCTTTAGAAAATATTTCCTCGTCTTTTATTATTGGTCCCATTTTATTACATTCTTGGTCTAAGTCCGCAGCGGAAAAAAATCCTTTTACACCAGGTACTGCCAAAGCGTTGCTAGCATCTATGCATTTTATCTTTGCAAATGATTCTGTACTAAACACCAAGCATAAATACAGTTCACCTTCTTGAATAGGCATATCATCGCAGTACAGAGCTTCTCCAGTAGCTTGCTTCAGAGCTGATACGTGTGGTATCGGTTTTCCCAATGTATCACGATCAGACTTTCTGTCCTTGATTTCAAAATATTGTGAACCGTTTGAAATTATGTTAGGGATTTCATTTACAGCACTCAATAGACGAGGGGGTAAAATATTACCAGTTGTATTAGATATTATTTCCAAAACATGCAAATAAAATCTATAAAAAAAACTAAGACATAACGATTTTCTATAATCAGCCATACCACCAGGTACTGAAATATCTAAATGCATTTCTTCTGTTAAGGAACTAAGCAACTTATTCAGCATATTTTCATTCCATATTTGATTTTTAAGTATTTCGGATGATTTTTTTGCAACTATTGTAGTTGGTGCCATTCCACCAAAACACAATCTAGCATTGGAAACCACGTCGCGAGCGAAAGTAACATTAAATGAAGCTGTCACTATGGAAATATCGTCATCTCTTCTCCTTGCTTGTTTGTACGCTTTAAAATATTGTTTAGCCGATGTATAAGGAATTTCGACTGATATAACAACTTCATCATCTTCCACAATTGTCTGCCTGTATCGAGTGAAAAAATTCTCGTCAATGCTTATTTTCCTGTTACCTCTTTTTAAACTACACACATTGAGTTTCGCCTTTGCTGCCATCAATATGGGATTTAAATCTGATATGGGACTAGCGGTTATAATATTACCCACCAGTGAAGCGACATTTCGAACTTGATTACCCGCAAACCAATGAAGCATTTCTTTTATAGCATCAAATACCTTACTTTCTATAGGTCTTTCTATACAGATGTTTTCTAAAAATATTTGTAGTTCACTTAATGTAGAATTAGCACCAACAACTACTCCACTATCCGACGTTATACAAAAATTCATTTCTTCTACACTAGCTGGTGAAATTAATACTTTGTAGCATTTGTTTTTAAATTTAATTTCAACACCTATTTCTGTGTTACCAACGACGATTTTACCATGTGGATATATATTTTTTAGTAAAATAAGGTCTCTTAATGTTGATGGTCTGATCCATATTACACTTTCACCTTTGAAATAAAGGTATTCCTTACTTCGATCATAGATTGTAAGTTCAGGCGGAAATATTGGTTCTTGTGTCGGATCGTACGGGACAAATGTTGATTGGTTTACTAAACTGCTATCGTTTTTTGTTTCTTTTAAGCGACAGCAATATTCGCCCATAGCACACGATGACCCTGAATCGTCTCTGACATAGTGCCTTTCCCATCCTTCCATAAACGTTTTGAATCCCTCTATTATGGGCCGATATCCAGTGCATCTGCAAAGATTGCCTTGCAGTGCAGTTTCCATATCCATATATTCAATCGTCCTCTTATTTCGCAATAAAGTATACATCGACATTACAATTCCTGGTGTACAGAAACCACACTGCGAGCCATGGGATTTAGCTATTCTCTCTTGAACAGGATGTAATCTTTCTTGAGTTGTACCAATGCCTTCCACTGTGGTTACAGCTAGACCATGCATCGCACACACTGGAGTCAAGCAGGCGTTTACCGCTATGTGCCTGTTATAAAAGAAAGAGTGTTAATAAGGAAATGAATTTCTAAAAAATTGAGAAACAACGAGACAGTACCCTTAGCACGAACCAATATCGAATTTGTAAAGTTTGCGAGTCTGAAATGTCATTATCAAATGTGTAATGATTTTTAGTTATCGTTACGTTCGCTGGGGTACTTACTGTACCCTAGCACGAACCATTATCGAATTCGAATAAGTTTAAAGTGCGTTTAATTGTTAATTAATAATATTAATGTGATGAAATATGACATCAACACATGTTTTTAGTTTTTGATGTCATCTTTCAATTGACGACACTGTATGAAACAAAACAGGGAGAAAAAATAGCCCTAGCCGAGTTTCTTGCCGGTTCTTCTCGGTACAAGGTCTCCCGCCGTAGATTTACGAACCGATGGCGTAGCGTTTGACTTTCACAAGAGCTTGTAACAGCCTAGACTGAATAAATGAGTTTGAGTTTGTATAGTTTTCGAGTGCTAAATGTCAATGTCATATTTTGTATGGAAACTTGAACAGCAGCGCCACTAAGTACGTAACGAGAACTAAAAATCAGTACTCATTTGACAATGACATTCCGGACTCGCAAACTATTCGAATTCGATATTGGTTCGTGCAAAGGGTACTGTACCCCTAGCACGAACCATTATCGAATTCCTATAGTTTGCGAGTACGAAAAGTCATTGTGAAATTTTGTATGAAAACTTGAACAGCAACGCAACAATGGACGAATAACTAAAAATCAGAACACATTTGACAGTGACAGTTCGCACTCGCAAACTATTCGAATTCGATATTGGTTCATGCTAAGGGTACAGATGTCAAGTTGAAATGCGAAAGCTCGTTAGCAGCAAATCAGCGATCCCAAAGGTCTCAAGTCCATACCCCATGGGAGTACCCAGCTTCTGGCCTAAGGGGGGGCAAATCAGATTTTCCAGGTCGGATCGTCCGCGGCTGTTTTGTCATACACACTAGGCGCCGAAACTTCAGCCGAAGTGTATCAAGATACAGTCGTGAATCATGTCGTGAAACCTCTCAGCAATACACTTTTAAAAATATACCGTGGACTTTCCAGCAGGATTCTGCACCTGGTCACAAGACACGAACTGCCCAAGCCTGGCTTGAAACCAACGCAACGTTCCGAACTTTACAAGAGCTGAAGACTGGCCCTAATCTAGCCCAGACTTCAACCCTTTTAGACTCCAAATTATGGTCAGTTTTAGAGGACATACCTGCTCTAAACGACACGGCGACATGAGTCTTAAAAAATCTTTGAAGCAAGCAGTGGCGAAATTTCCCTTGGAAAAAGTGCGTAAATCCATAGCCATTTCGAATAGTATTTTTTGTTATTTTTTGCTGAGATTTTAATAAATATATAGGAATAAGTTTTAATAATATTACATTACTTCATTAAAAAAAACAATTACGGAAAATATAGACAGGCGTATAACCTGTCTATATAGACAGGTTTCACTCTCATTCATTAAGCAGATTACATCTCGCTCTTTAGCCCCCACGCCACGTGTCAACTGTGTCAGGAACTGTCAAGATAAGTAATCACTCAATATTTTTACATTAATTTCTTTAGAGAAATAAACTGAAATAAACTCCATAGAATGGAGCGTGCGGTCAAACGTTTACCGCACGCTCCATTCTATGGCCTGTAATTTTGACAATCTCCTTAAATGCATTTATTAAGCAAATGTGTTGAAAGGGTTCTTTTCATTATTTTATTTTTATAAGTGTGTAAGGTAGCATACCCACAGTTCAATTAAAGTCAAAGCAGCTCTATATAAAATAATTAATCGTATGTTGTTTTAAACTTTCATAGTCACTAACATTATAGCTAGCTACATGGTAACAATCCCGTTAATAGCTATAAAATTAATCGTATGGTTACTGTACCTGATTTCTTCTCGGTCTTTCAGATATTGTGATATCATGACTGTGCACGCACCGCACCCACCCTCTCCACACCCGTACTTGGTACCAGTAAGGTGTAGCTTCCTCCTTAAATACCAGAGCAGAGTCCATTCTGGATCTGGACTTTGTTCCACTACCTGAAATTTTTATGAGGACGGAACTTTTAGATAATAAGTAAAGGGTATCCGGTGGCAGAATTAGGATTTAAATTTCGATTTGATCTAATACCGCTAAGAGAAGGGACGGGTGGGGAGTAGCATTCTATTTGTCATTCGTGCGGGTTACTCAGTCACTTTTTCGCAGTGGACGGGAGAATAACGTGCGTTCGCAATCGAAGCTTATTTTAAAGCTAATGATTCCTGCGCTGTTGCTCATCGAAGATTTTGTTCGCATTACAATATTTGAAGATCACGTGATTCGCCAAGCGAAGATTTGATTCGATTGTGGATGAGGAGGTTCAGGACAACAAGTTCAACAATCCGCGGCCGGGACCCAGCCGAAGTCGAGGACCGATGACAACATCGAACTTGTCGCGAACAGTTTAGGCGATAATCCGCATCAGACCATGCGTAAGAGAGAGGCTGCTGGGCTTGGGCTTCCAAAAACGATTGTGCACAAAATATTGAAAAAGGACATTAAATTACACCCCTACAAAATTCAAATTGTGCAAGCAACGACAGACAGACAGACAATGTTGCAACGATTTCGTACAGTGAATACAATCTTTGGAGTGAAGAAGTCCATTTTCACCTAAAGGACAGAATCCACGATTAAAACACTAACAGCCACTTCACATTCCCAAAGTGACGGTTTGGTATGCATTTTCAAGCAGTGAAATAAATATACGGACCCTATTTTTTTGAAAATCATCGAGGACAAGCCATTACGGTAAACGGTGTTTCTTATCAGCTCATGCTCAATGATTACTTTCTGTTATCAATAAGGCAACATCCTGCGTACAGTTCACACACATGGTTCCACCAAGATAGCGTCACACCTCACACTTCAAGAGAGACCATGGCGCTTCTTCGTGGATTTTCCCTAGAGAATTGATTAGCCGTTTGGGTGGCATCCCCCGACCACCCAGGTCGCCGGATCTCACCCCCATGGACTTTTTTCTGTGGTCCTCAAAAGTAAAGTTTATGACACAAATCCAGTGACCATCGCAGCACTAAAAAAAATATCGTTCGCGAAGTTCATGGAATCCCGACGTCACTCCTCGAGCGAGTCACCACTCGATCGGAATACTGAGGTCAGATTCCGAGTGTGTACAACGTGCCGGTCAACATTTTAACGAAATATTTTTTAGGAAATAAAACCCGCACTTCTCTTCTTTGTAGTAGTTTAGGAATTTACGATAGTATTTTTTTTAGTATAAGTAGTCGAGTCAATGAAGCTTTTTACCTGGAAACCCGGTGGAACAGCTTCGATTTTGATGATTATATGATTATATGATATATATATATATTGGGTCAGAGGCCGCGCTCTCAAGGATTCCGAGGTCGATTCACTCAAAGCAGCCTACAATTTTGCTTCCAAGGCCTGTAAGAAGGCATCAGAGCGGATGCCCAGCGCGTTGCACGTATTGGCCAGGAACTTATAACGTATCCTACGCTCCTGTAGCTACTGGCGTTTGGCCAAAGCCGTGCAAAAAACCTTCTGCCAGCCCTCGCGATGCCCAGACGGAACACTAGCTCATAAGCCGCAGGAGGCAGTGTGAGGTTCATGCCGAATTGCAATCACTCGACGTCCGGAAAGCTAGTGGACCTGATGGCATCCCAGCAGTAGTACTGAAAAAATGTGCAACGGAGTTGTCTCCTGTGCTCACGCGCTTGTACCAATGCTCGTATTCTTTGGGGCGTGTGCCCCAGACTTGGAGAGATGCTAACGTGCAACCGGTGCCCAAAAAAGGGGATCGCTCAGACCCTGCAAAGTACCGGCCAATAGCAGTCATCTCAGTTTTATGTAAAGTTTTAGAAAAGCTCCTTAATAACCATCTGACCCGTCATCTTATTTTATATTAATTTTATTTATTTATCATCTTCAGGGCAAAACACTACCGCTACAGAGCAACATTTCCATGCTCGGTATGGAAGTTCGCTCAGACCTGAATCCAAAGGACTACATCGAAACCGTGATCAAAACAGCTTCACGCAAACTCGGAGTCCTGAACAAGGTGCGGCGTTCTTTCACGCCCGATCAACTGTGCTTGTTGTACAAAACGCAAGTGCGGTTCTGCGTGGAATATTGCTCGCACCTCTGGGATGGCTCCGCCAAGTACTTGCTCGATGCTTTGGATAGGTTACAGCGGCGCGCGATCCGCATCATAGGCGATGAGGAGGTGACTCAACACCTTGAGCCGTGACGTGGCGTGCGCGTTCTATCGTCTGTACCACGGCGAGTGTTCTGAGGAGTTATTCTTTCTTATCCCACCTTCCCCTTTCCTTCAGAGGACCACGCGCGCTGGCCTACGTTGTCACCGTCTTACTGTGGCCACAATTCCAACGCGTACAAAGAAATTTGGTGACTCATTTCTTTGTCGCACTATCCGTAAATGGAATGCTCTGCCCGCTCACGTGTTCCCTTCCTCTTACAACCTGAGATCCTTTAAAAGAGGCGTGAAGAAGCAACATGCAGGCCGGCAGGGTAAGGATGGCTGGTGTGGCAGGTAGAACTGCTGTATCAGCTATCTTCGCGTCTGGACTTCACCTTCACTTAACATCAGGTGGGGTGGATTCATTTGTCGGACCTATCTATAAAATATATATATATATATATATGAAGTAACTAAATATAACGTAAGTGCTCAACGCATTCGTATTATTGACCAATACATCGTATTTTAATGGTTTAAATATTAAATTATTATTAAAAGCCTCATTTTAACAACTATGTTTTATACTAACATTAACATAATAATATTGTTTTCAAAAAAAAAGCGATAAAAGTGATTTTTTTATAAAAATGTCATAAATATTGTTTAAACAATAAAAAAAAATATTTCCCCCCTTCCAAAGGTTTCTGATTTTGAATAATATAAAAAAACAATTTAAAAAAAAAATATCAAAATCGGAGCTGTTCCACCGGGTTTCCAAGTTTTGCTTGTTTTATGTCTTTATTGACTCGACTAAAGTAGTAGTTTTGATTTACTATTAGCAGGGCCGGATTTAGAGTTTTGAAGGCCTTGCGGCAAAGAAGTTGTGTGGGGCCCCTATTTTTTTTAAACTCATTTTCTATGTGGTTTTCCTTTTTATTGATATTGGTTTTAATTCAATTTCTCAAACGCTCGCAAGCACGCACGCCAGGAATTTTTTTCCTGGCGTGCGTGCTTTCGTATTGTACATTACATTAAAAGTTTATCTAATATAAGTATGTTTGTAAGAAAGATTAGGCACGAGGAATACTTACTACCTACGTACACTATCATTGAATATAAAGATATTAACTACAACACAGCACAGTTTAAAATATGGTTAGGTATTGATCTTATTTATGACTAAGTTTATCTAATTAAAAAAATTAAATGTCATTTTCTGAAATTATAAAATCTACAACCGATGATATATTTACTTCACTTAATAAATCGTTTGTCACCCACAAATTTACACAATCATTAATGAGAAATAATTAAGTACTTTAGTTAATTGGGTAATAATGGCTAGTTAAATGTTTCATAATAATATTAAGTTTGTTGAAATAAAGGGCAAAAGAACAGTGAATAAACAAACCTATAAGTATGAATTTTACATTTACTAGGAACTATCCTTTTAACATGACGTATAAGTAACTAACTTGTGCATGCGAGAGGGGTCGGTCTTTCGAGAAAATTTAACGTAAGTACGATCGAACCAACTGAATCCTGACGCAATTGCCCAATAATTCGCTTAAAAATTTCAAAACAGACAAGTTTTCTTTGTAGAGCATGCGTAATTGCACTAAGGACCTTCTAATAACTAGGAAACTGAGTTAATATGAATCAAAGATCATGTTATAATAGATAAAATTGGAATAGTAGTTTGAATTTCGAAATCACTTTACGTAAAATGTAAAAGAAACTATTTCGATTTCTTGACATTATAAAAAACGTTGGTAAACAATTATGGAAACATGAAAAAGTCAGGCAAAAATTCCAAATAATTTTAGGTCAAGATCAAGGAAGGCGGCTTTTGCGGAGGGAAAAATATGTACACAAATGCAGTCCAACATACTTTCGCAAAAATGAAATTGCAATTACGACACTCACACCTCAGATTATTTGGTCTGAGACTCACACATAAAAAATGACAGCGCTAAATCGGGCATAGATGAAATTTAACATTTTTATTGACAGATCTGAAATTTGTACTGGAGAGTCGATTGTTTTGTCTAACAAGTCCGATGATTGAATTTTAACAAATTAATATGAATTTTGTATTAAAAAGTGGTTAAATAGAAAAAATAAGTTAAAAATTCTACTTATATGTGAAATTTAACATCATCCTTAAGTTTAATATTGTAGATATGTTTCACAGCAAATTACATAACATTTTGGCATTTTTTGTGCTCTGACTTACACTCTCGCGACTTGAATCAGTCTAGTGAAATATCCGAGCGCAACTAGTTTGTCTTTGAGCTGGCCCAATAGCGGGAGAAAATCGACAGAGAGGAACGCTGTGAATACCTACTCCCTTCCTTGGCCGCGTCGGCCGCGTTGCTCTATGCCTATCGTACATTTATCTTATGTTAAATCTCAAATGATTTAATCTAAGACAGTAAATGTAAGAATTGTCCTTTCAACTAATATCACACTATTTTTAATATTTAAAAGCAATTCCTATTTAGCGGAATATGAAAACATTTAAAAATTATTCTCTTTTACATTTTGAGCGATGATGTGACAGTCAGGTCATAAGTATTGTCACACAGTAAAAACTTTTCTTTTAGTATGATGGCCACAAAAAAGTTTATTGAATTCGAATTTCGAATTGTTCATGAAAATAAAAATGTATTCTTTTTAGAAATTTACTCATTTTTAAATATGGAGTGGACGCTTAAAGAAGACCGTGTTGCAGATATTGCGTTGCATCGTTGCGGTTACGCGCCAATTCAAATTTTTGACATACTGAAAATTTTGAATATAACCAAAAAATTTGTTTATCGGACCATCAAACGATACAATGAAGACTCTAGTGTAGATGACAGGTCAAGAAGTGGTCGCCCTCGGTCTGTTAGGACTCCAGCAGTGAAGGCTGTGAAGGCGCGAATTCAAAAAAACCCAGCCGTAAGCAGAAACTGTTGGCCCTTCAGATGGGGTTAAGCAGAACCACGATGAAAAGGGTGTTAAATGAAGACTTAGGGCTTCGGGCATATCGAAGAAAAACAGGACATCGTTTGTTTGCTCGTCTAATGGACCTGAGACTGAAGAGATGCCGCGCTTTGTTGAAGCGGTACGCGGGAAAAAAATATCGGGAAATTCTTTTTTCGGATGAAAAAATTTTTACCGTAGAAGAGAGCTACAACAAACAAAATGATAACCGTATTCCGCGTGTCCAACGAGGTCATTTTCCATCTTCGCTCATGGTATGGTAGGGAGTTTCTTATTGGGGCTTAACAGAGCTACATTTTTGTGAGAAAGGTGTAAAAACGAGTGCAGTTGTGTATCAAAATACAGTCCTGACGAACCTTGCGGAACCTGTTTCTCATACCATGTTCAATAACAGGCACTGGGTATTCCAACAAGATTCGCGCCAGCTCATACAGCCAAGAGCACACAAGACTGGCTTTCGGCGCATGAATTCGATTTCATCCGGCACGAAGATTGGCCCTCCTCCAGTCCAGATTTGAGTCCGTTAGATTACAAGATATGGCAACACTTGAGGAAAAGGCGTGCTCAAAGCCTCATCCCAATTTGGAGTCACTCAAGACATCCTTGATTAAGGCAGCCGCCGACATTGACATGGACCTTGTTCGTGCTGCGATAGACGACTGGCCGCGCAGATTGAAGGCCTGTATTCAAAATCACGGAGGTCATTTTGAATAAACTTTATTGTCATAAGAATCTATGTTTTGCTAAATTCATTTTGGTATATAAATGATAACATAATGTATAAACTTGATTCAATTATTTTATATTAAACGTGACAGAATTTATGACCTGACTAGGTACTTAAACTATGTATAATCAGTAAACAGTCGGCAGTACATTAACATTACAGTCTGTAAATAAAAAATGTAAAATAATACCACAAAAGAATAATAGCAAAGAAAGAAATCGCCAGTGAAACAGTAGATACATAAAAAAAATACTATAATTGAATGCCCTTAACCTCAACAATATTCATCCGGATTTTACCCGCAAGCCGCAACGTAACTACACTGTACATAACCACCACAATACCAAACTTATAGGTAGTAAAAGTAAGTAAATTTATACCCATACAACAACACCAAACAATCTAAACACTAATGTTAGGTCACTGTTAGGTACAAAGGCAAAACAATACGGATCAGAAAAAAAGTCGGTGGAAGAGGAGTTTTGATTCTACGTCACTTAATCTTTTCTTTAAAAAAATATCTACATCGTATAATTTAATATCTTTATAATACGATTATAGGGAATGAAATATATTTTTTAGATAAATAATAAAATAGTTCCTAATAAATGGCATAGCCTTATCTGCTATAGTCACAAAAATAAATCAAGACTCGAAAACCGGTACTCTAGAAAGTAAATGTTATACATATTTATATAGCTGCATAAAATTATCTTAACCAATTACTTATCCTACAATTAATTAAATAATACTTACCTTTTTTCCGTTAACGAAAAACACCAGTTGCTTCTGCGCATCTTTTGGTACGATTCTTTCAAATTCCTCCATATTTTGTTTGGAAGATAAGATTCTGTATTATCACCGCAGCACGCCGATATATAACTCGTGCAGAGTGTAATGAGACACTGCGCGTGTGGGGAAGCGATGAACGACAGCAAGCCACGAGATTGTACCGAGGTCGAACGACTATTCGCAACTTCTCACACAATTCATCTCGACTTTATCAAGGAAGGACTAACTTCCACTACATGAACAGCGCAACGTCGCATCGCGCTTGTCTCGCTTTCGTAAAGAAAACTACCTATGGCTTCCTGTATTGTTTTATTCCTTTATTGTACAGATTTCATAATGAATAAATATCAAAATCATCTTTGAATTTTTAAATGTTTTTGTTTTAGAATGCCGGAAATAAAACTGAAAAATTCATGTACAGCCATTAACACTTTATTTTTAATATAAAAAATATATTCAATATTAATCCTTATAAATATACAGGATGGCCATCATCCCATGACAATAGATAATAAGTTATTTTTTTGCACTTTTTTGAAGTCTTTTCTCCATTTACGTCATCATCATCATCATCAACAGCCTATCCTAGTCCACTGCTGGACATAGGCTAGACATGGGCGTTTTTGGTTTTGAACGCAAACGGATATTTATCGGATTTCAGATTTCGAAATCGATTTTAAAATCCGTTTTTAGATATCCGATTTCAGATGTGCCGAACTTAGCCAATTCACTAGTTTGTGTTATGATTTGGTTTTGTTAGCTAACGACAATCACAAACAATTATTTGTACGAAGCATACTCGTAGATCTGCGCGATTTTCCTTTATGCTTTAAATCTAGGCTTAGGCAAGAGTATATATTCTGTGGCTTAGGACTAGCAGAAAAGTTATCTTTACGGTTAAGAGTAAAACTTTTGCGGCGCATTTAAAAATCGGCTTATATACAATGATATCTTTTTACATACTTTTTTTGGAATTTTTTTGTTTTTCTGTTTGTTTTTATTATTTTTCAAACCATTTACAAAATCAAACCTAATTACTTCAGGTTAGGTTTCAAAAAAATGTCAGTTGCTCGACTTTTGATGTTTTTAGACGACATCTCTTTTCAGTGATAAATAATCCCGCTTTAGAGAAGAATAGATTTCCGTAAACAGCAAACCGAAATCGGACTTCCGAGCACGAAATCGGACTTCCGAAAACGAAAGCACGAATTTCGAATCCGATTTACATTTGGATACTTGTGGTGGTATTAGATCGCTAGCGTTTTGGTTCGGTTAGATTTCTGAAATCGGATTTTCTCATTGAGAAATCCTTCGGTATCGATTTGTGTTTGATATCGGATTTTGGATTCGTTTTGATATATCGGACGCATGCCTAACATAGGCCTCTCCAATTGCACGCCACTCAAATCGATTTTGATTTTGCCAGCCACCTTGCGCAAATCGTCACTCCACCGTGCCTGAGGACGTCCTACACTACGTTTGCCTAGACGCGGTCTCCACTCCAGAACTTGTCTACCCCAACTGTTATCGGTTCTTCGGCAAATATGGCAGCCCACTGCCACTTCAGTGAATTATTATTATTATTAATTAATAAATAATTAATTAATTATTCAATTTACGTGAATCACTTTTAATTTTAAATCTACTTGACCTATTTGCATAAAATTTGGTATACAGCAATGACATATAATATATAGACGTTATACACCAACATTATTGCATTTTAAAATGGCACAAGTAGTCCGCACCCCAACTTCCCTTGGCAACAGCCGCCTAAAGAACGCACTAAAGTAGTCTCTTTCACTCTCATTCATAAAACAATTACATCACGCTCTTTAGCCTTCACGTATCAACGGTGTCAGCAGCTGTCAAAATAAGTATTTACATTTTTTTCTCGTTGATTTCTTTAAAACTGTACTTACGAATGAAATGACAATTTTTTATTGTCTCTAATAGTTCCTGTGTATTTTGTGTACTTTCTATAAACACACATAAGGCTTTTTGTCTGGAAAAACGTAAAATATGCACACGTTGTAGCAAAGTGTAGCTGCAGCGAGTTGGCGTGCTCGACTGCTAGTCGGCCAATTACCTAACTTTCGTATTACCAAAATAGAAGCGTATAGCTATAAATTAAAAAAGAAAAAAAAACAGAGGTTGTAAAGTCATGAAGGAAGAAAGGAGTTGTTCTGTTCCTTATTCGTAGGAAGCTCCTGATGAGCGGTTCTTATGTTTATTCTTAATAACTGTTTTTATCTACTCGAAAGCTAAAAAAATTTAGCTAAACATCTATTTATTGACATAAAATCTTATAAGTTACTTTAGGGACAAAAAACGTGGTGAAATTATCAAAAGATTTAAAGAAAGAGCGGGTTTTTTCTCAAAAATTGTTTTTGGTTTTAATCACGAATGTACCTTTCCGTTAGAGACAATCGGCAGAACTTTCGGCATTCTAACAAATTCGTTTACAAAATCAGTCATTTTGGGAAATTTGTTCATTATGGGGAACAGTAAAATATAAGAATCGGTCCTAACAGACCGCACAGGGTCGCTAACATCGCGTCGCGCGCGGTGCATTGCAACCGTACATGCGACTGATTCAGATCCGACGCCACTACAATACGGAATAGTGTCAGAAAAATAGAAGAATGAAAAACAATTTTATCTTTAATCAAAATATATTTTAATCAATATAGGTATTTTACATTGAGCAATCTTTTGTGTGCTGTAAAACTACAAAAGTAAGCTAACAATTTAATAGTTTATTAAAATGTAATTAATATTTTAACATGGAGCAATCTTATGGGTACGAACAAATATTTTTCACCTTACATATGAAATTAGCGTTTCGTCGTACTGACAACTTTGATCTGAAATATCTCATCTTTGGTTACGAATTCCAAATTGTAATTTATTAATTCAATTAGATGGTACATTTGAGTTTTGTAAACAGTCATTATTTGTTTTTTTTCCTCATTATTTTGTTCTTTGCCGTCGCTTATTACGGCACAATGGAAAACATGAAATATCGGTATATTTACTAGAACTAGTTCTACCGTGGCACCAGTGCTGCAGAAACAGCTTGAAGGATTAATGATGTGTACGTGTGGTGTGCAAAAGAAAGCACGATACGTTTTTGGTTTAAACGTTTTAGTTCTGGAAATTTAGACCTTCAGAACCAACCCCGTAGACGGCCGGAAACCAAAGTGGAAAATACAGAATTAAAGGCTATTGTAGAAGCTGATCCCTTACAAAGCACTTCAGAGATAGCAGGCTTCGGGGTAAGTGACAAAACTATATTAATCCACTTGAAGCAAATCGGGAAAGTAAAAAAACTTGAACGTGGATGGATGAATTGCGTGAAACGAACTTGCAAACACGCGTAGACTGCTGTTACTTTGCTCAACCGACACAATAATAAAGGGATTTTAAATCGAATCATTACTTATGATGAAAAGTGGATACTGTACGATAATCGGAAGCGCTCGTCGCAATGGCTGAACTCTGGAGACAAAGCCAAATCCTGCCCTAAACGAAAATTGACTCAGAAACAGTTACTAAGTGTTTGGTGGATGAAGGAAGAACTAGCTGCTAAACAACCGAGATTGGTCAATCGCTCTAGGCCACTGCTGCTTCACGACAACGGAAGATCACAAACAACCACAATTGGAATGTACGCGACATCCACCGTACTCCCCGGACCTTGCTCAACAGATATGTATTGTTACCATTTTTTCCAGAATTTGGACAACTTTTTACAAGGAAAAAAATTCAACTCCGATGGGGCAGTCCAAACCGCCTTCAAAGAGTTTATTGATTCTCGCCTCCATGTTTTTTTTTAGTAGAGATATTGATCCCTTAGGTAGGCCGTCTCATAGGTAGTCATTGGAACTACCTTTGAGATGGCAAAAGTGCATAGATAACAACGGTGCATACTTTGATTAATTAATTTTACAAAAAAGAATTGACTTTATATTCCTCCCGTACAAAACGCCAATTTCATATGTAAGGACCTAATACTTTACATGGCTTTTTCTCTATACATAGTAGGTAGGTAATTTACATGAAATATTAAAAAAATGATTTCCGGTATATAATGCTGCTGGATATGGACATTTTCATAATATACAATTAGTAGTAGTATAACAAAGAGTATACTTTAATATTTATTATATTTTGATTTTCAGCATTAAACTGCTTGATTCATAAATCTTAATACAATTTTACTAAAATTTACGATAGAAATGAAAAAAAATACAAAAGTTTCAACGGGAAATATCCAAAAAACAAATCATTTTCGGTGAAAACTTATAGAACTTTTTACACACGTGTGTGTATGTGCGTCTGATAAATCGTAAAAAGATACAAGGATTCTTCTTTATATGTATATAGGTACCGTCATCGGGGTAACTTAAGACGGGGGTCTATCTTGAGACGATTAGTAGGCAAATTTTATTTTGATAATATGGCAACACTATTATGAAGTAGATTGTAGTGATTGCTGTCAAAAGGTTGTGAATTGATTGCGGTTACTCTCTGTATTTAAGCTGAAGTTGTAACGTATCTCAGTTTTTAGTAATAGTCTTTCTAATATTGTAGAAAAATATTGTTCAGAACATACGCTGGATAACTTTTGTGCTACCGGCACGAGTTTTTGTTGTATTCTTTTGAGATTTTAACTATCATAACCTCAAAGTGTATTCGACTTTTGAGTATTGGTAGACAGCACAACCAACACATATATAATTAAAAAAAAAAGTGACGAATGAGGAGTGTTGTCGGGTAAAATGAGACGCGTTTCGTCTATGTCTCAAGTTGTCCCATGTCTCAAATTAGCCATGAAAATTTAATTGTACACAGTGATTGTGTTCTTGTTATTTTAATTTGTAAGTTTTATTTTTCTTAACTTTTTAGGGCAGACATGCCGCGAAAAAAAGCGAGGGTGCTTGGAGGTCGGCCGTATGTAACTTACACAAAAGAACAGTTACATAAAGCTGTAGATGCAGTTTAGAAAGGCTTATCATTAAAAAGGCGTGTGAGAAGTTTGGAGTGCCCAGAGCTACGATTAACAGACACGTAAGAGGAAAAAACATTGGGAAATGTGTTTTTTCAGAAGAGGACGAAAAAGCTATTGTCGAGTGTATTTGCTTGGCAGGAGAATGGGGTTTCCCTTTTACCAAGTACGACATTCGATTGATTGTTAAATCATTCTTGGATCAAAATGGATTGACTGAAAGCAGGTTTTGTAACAATTTACCAGGACCAGATTGGGTGAGCTCATTTCTTTCCAGGAATAAAGGTCAACTAACAACAAGACTGAGTCAAAACATAAAAAGATCCCGCGCAGCTGTTGATGATAAAATTATAAATGAATATTTTGATGAACTCACTGAAACTCTAAAAGACGTTGAGCCAAGTTTAATTGTGAACTATGACGAAACGAACCTTACTGATGATCCTAAACGGAAAAGGGTCATTGTTAGGCGAGGTTGCCGACACCCAGAAAATATAATCGACAGTAGTAAAGCAAGCACATCAGTCATGTTTGCTGCAGCAGGTGATGGACATCTTCCACCGTACGTAGTCTACCGAGCAGAGAATTTTTACGATACTTGGATACGTGGTGGCCCTTCTGGTACGGTGTACAATCGTTCAAAATCAGAATGGTTTACAATGGAAATATTTGAAGATTGGTTCACTTAAATAATTATACCCTACTTCAAAAACTTTGACAAAGACAAACCAAAAGTTTTACTCGGCGATAATCTTGCCACCCACGTGTCGAAATGGGTAATCAATCAATGCACTTCATTAAATATAAAATTTGTATTATTACCGCCGAATAGTACAGGGCTCTGCCAACCTCTCGACGTAGCTTATTATAAGCCTTTGAAGACCAAATGGAGCCAAGTGCTCTTAGAATGGAAATTAAA